TCTTCAGTGAAATAGAGAGCATAAATAAAAAGTGATCACAACTTTTGGAAATCAAGGACACACTTAGAGAAATGCAAAATGCACTGGAATGTTTCAGCCATAGAATCAATCAGAAGAAAGAACTTCAGAGCTTGAAGACAAGGCTTTCAAATTAACCTAATCCATCAAAGACAAAGAAAAAATTTTAAAAACGAACAAAGACTCCAAGAAGTTTGGGACTATGTTAAATGTCCAAACTTAGGAATAATTGGCGTTCCAAAGGAAGAAGAAAAATCTAGAAGTTTGCAAAACATATTTGAGGGAATAATCAATAAAAATGTCCCGGGCCTTGCTAGAGATCTAGACATTCAAAGAACTAGGCACTCAGAGAACACTTGGGAAACTTGTCACAAAAAGATCATTGCATAAGCACATGGTCATCAGGTTATCTAAAGTCAAGATGAAGGAAAGAATCTAAAGAGCTGTGAGGCAAAAGCATCAGGTAATATAAAGGAAAACCTATCAGATTAACAGTAGATTTCTTATCAGAAACCCTATAAGCTAGAAGAGACTAGGGCCCTATTTTTAGCCTTCTTTTATTTATATATTTAATTTTTTTTTATTGTACTTTAGGTTCTGGGTACATGTGCAGATCATGCAGGATTGTTGCATAGTTACATACATAGCAAGGTGGTTTGCTGCCTTCATTCCCCCATCACCTATATCTGGTATTTCTCCCCACATTATCCCTCCCCACTTTCCCCACTCCCTGCTGTTCCTCTCCTAGCCCCATCCCCAACTGACTACAGTGTGTGATACTCCCCATCCTGTGTCCACATGTTCTCACTGTTCAACATCCACCTATGAGTGAGAACATGCAGTGTTTCGTTTTCTGTTTTTGTGTCAAATTTTTAGCCTTCTTAAAAAAAATCATCAGCCAAGAATTTTGTATTCAGTGAAACTAAGCTTCACAAGGGAAGGAAAGATATAGTCTTTTCCAGATAAACAAATGCTAAGAGAATTTGCTACTACCAAGCCAGCACTACAAGAATTGCTAAAAGGAACTGTAAGTCTTGAAACAAATCCTTGAAATACACGCAAATCGAACTCCCTCAAAGAATAAATCTCACAGGATCTATGTAACAATAATAAAATAAAAAATAACCCAAGGTATTCAAGCAATAAATAACACAATGAATAGAATAGTACCTCACATCTCAATACTGACATTGAATATGAATGGCCTAAATGCTCCACTTAAATGATACAGAATGGCAGAATGGATAATAATTCACCAAATTTCTGCTGTCTTCAAGACACTCACCCTAACACATAAGAACTCACATAAACTTAAGGTAAAGGTGTAGAAAAAATTATTCCATGTAGATGGACCTCAAAAGTGAGCAGGAGAAGCTATTCTTATATTGAACAAAACGAACTTTAACAGCAGTTTAAAAAGACAAAGAGGAATGCTATATAATGATAAAAGGACTAGTCCAACAAGAAAATATCATAATTTTAAATATATATGCACCTAACACAGGAGCTCCCAAATTTATAAAACAATTACTACTAGACCTAAGAAATGAGATAGATGGCAACACAATCATAGTAGGGGAATTTAAAACCCCATTAACAGCACTAGACAGGTCATCAAGACAGAAAGTCAAGAAAGAAACAATAGACTTAAACCTACAACAAATGGACTTAACAGATATTTACAAAACATTCTAACAACTGTGTAATATACATTATATTCATCATTACATAGAACATTCTTTAAGATAGACCACAAAACAAGTCTCAGTAAATTTAAAAAAATTGAAATTATATCAAGTACTCTCTCAGAGCACAGTAGAATAAAATTGGAAATCAACTTCAAAAGGAACAAACCCCAACCCAGCAGAAGAAAAGAAATAACCAAGAGCAGAACAAAATGATATTGAAAATAAATGAAATTGAAACAAACAAAAATGCAAAAGATAAATGAAACAAAAGCTGGTTCTTTGGAAAGAGAAACAAAACTGATAGAACTTTTGTGAGATTAACCAAGAAATGAAGAGAAAGATCTAAATAAGCTCAATTAGAAATGAAACGGGAGATATTACAACCGATAACAGAGAAATACAAAAGATTATCAAATATACTATAAATACCTTTACATGCATAAACTAGAAAACCTAGAGAAGATGGATAAATTTGTGGAAATATACTACCCTTCAAGATTAAACCAGGAAGATACAGAATCTCTGAACAGACCAATAGCAAGCAATGAGATTGAAATGAGAATAGAAAAAATGCCAGCAAAAGTAAAGTTCAGGACCAGATGGATTCATGGCTGAATTCTATCAGACATTCAAAGAAGAAATGATACTAATCCTATTGAACAAATCTGGAGGCATCTCATTACCCGACCTCAAACTATACTATACAGCCATAGTCAGTGAAGCAGCATGGTACTGGTACAAAAATAGGCATGTAATCCAATGGAACATAATAGAAAACCCAGAAATAAAGCCAAATGCAGTCAATTGATCTTCCACAAAGCAAACAAAAACACAAAGTGGGGAAAGCACATCCTATTCAGTGAGTAGTACTGAAATAATTGGGAATCCACATGTAAAACAATGAAAGAAGGAAGAATAAAAGTGGATCTCTCATACAAAAATCAACTCCAGATGGATCAAGACTTAAATCTAAGACCTGAAACCATAAAGATTCTAGAAGATAACATCAGAAAAACCCTTCTAGACATTGGCTTAGGCAAAGATTTCATGACCAGAAACCCAAAAGTAAATGTGACAAAAGAAAGATAAATAGATTGGGACCTAATCAAACAAAAAAGCTTCAGCACAGCAAAAGAAATAATGAGCAGAGTAAACAGACAACCTACAGAGTGGGAGAAAAATTTTGTAAACTATGCTCTGACAAAGGACTAACATCCAGAATCTACAGAGAACTCAAACAAATCAGCAAGAAAAAAGCCAAACAATCCCATAAAAAAAGTGGGCTAAGGACATGAATAAACAATTCTCAAAAGATATACAAACGGCCAACAAACATATGGAAAGATGCTCAACATCACTAATTATCAGGGAAATGCAAATCAAAACCACAATACGATACCACCTTACTCCTGAAAGAATGGCCATAATAATAAAAAAAAGATATTGGCATGAATGTGATGAAAAGGGAACACTTTTACATTGTTCGTAGGAATGTAAACTAGTACAACCACTATGGAAAACAGTATGGAGATTCCTTAAAGAACTAAAAGGCCATCTACTGTTTGATCCAGTAATACTAGGTATCTACTTGGAGAAAAAATAAGTTAATATACAAAAAAGAAACTTGCACACTCATGTGTATAGCAGCACAATTCGCAATTACAAAAATATGGCACCAGTCCAAATGCTCATTAATCAACAAGTGGATAAAGAAAATGTGGCATGTATATACCATGGAATACTATTCAGCCATAAAAAGTAACAAAATAATGGCATTTGCAGCAGCCTGGATGGAACTGGGGACATTATTTTAAGTGAAGTAACTCAGGAATGAAAAACCAAAGACTGTATGTTCTCACTCATATGTAGGAGCTAAGCTATGAGGACCCAAAGGTATAAGAGTGATACATTGGACTTGGGGACCCAGGGGAAAGGGTGGGGTATGGTGAGGGATAACAGACTACACATTGGGTACACTGTACACTGCTCAGGTAATGGGTATACCAAAATCTCAGAAATGACCACTAAAGAACTTATTCATGTAAACCAACACAACCTGTTCCCAAAAAGCTACTGAAATACAAAAATACAAAAATAAAAAATAAACACTGAGAAAAAAATAAAAAAATAAAATAGCCTAATGTAGCTACTGGCTACAGTATTTGAAAGGCATACCTCGAAAACTTAATTTTTTCCTTTCTAAAATGGAATTAGGCCAGGTGCAGTGGCTCACACCTGTAATCCCAACACTTCGTGAAACCAAGGTGGAGCCCAAGAGTTCAAGACTAACCTGACTAACATGGGGATACTCTTGTCTCTACAAAAAGTGATTTAAAAAAATAGCCAGGTGTGGTGGCATGTGTCTGTGGTCCCAACTACTTGGGAGGCTGAGGCAGGAGGATGGCTTTAGCCCAGGAGCTTGAGCTTCAGTGAGCCGTGTTCTCACCACTGCACTCCAGCTGGGGTGACAGAGCAAGACTCCATCTCTAAATAAATAAATAAACGAACAGAATAATAATTCTAATCAAATTCTTGGCCAAAGGATCAGGTAACATATGCGAACTTTGAAAAACTAAAAAATACAAGTATTATGTAGATAACTATTTTATTATTGTTTTATACTCAAGAATTTCTATCATTTGGAATCAGAGGAAAATGGAATAAGCAGCCTGAGAAAACTGAGTTCCCCATACCTGGTAGAGTTTTAAGGCTGTCTGGCGATACAGAAAGAACAAAAATATTCTGGAGAGTTAAGCTAAATCATCCCTCAATTACCTGCATAGACCTTCTCTGGGAGGTCCTCCTTGACTCCCTGGACTGAGTTAATGGTCCTCTAGGTATTACCATGGTACTTTTCACACTGTATTGTAAAAAAGTGCTCTGTCTGCTCAGTTTTACCCAAGAACAGGTGTCGTGTCCTTTCGATTGTCAACCGCTAGGTACACAGTATATCCTCAATCTGTATTTGTTGAATAATTCTCTTGCACTGTATTCCTGAGGGTATGGTTCTCTGGTAATTTAAGTAACTATTAATCCGTGGGGACCAGAACAGCTCTTTAAGGACGATGTGGATGAATACTGGTTGCTGTAATGGGTTGGTTGGGTGCCAGGAGTCCGTCCAGTGCTGACCTTTCTTCTTTTGCCTCCAGTCTGCGGGATATAGAGGACCTCACAGTCACGAAGTCGCGACAGTCCGTGCTGTCGTGGAGACAAGCGGGAAGCGGAGACAGAACTACATTTCCCAGCTGACTCTCCTGCGCGTGCCCATTCCCGCGCGCGGGGGGCGAGTGCACCGGCGCTCGCTCCCTGCCGAGCGCTCCTCGCCCGCCCGAGCCATTGCCAGGGGATGAGGTGGGAGGCGCTAGAAACCACTTAGCTACAGCCAACCGCCCAATGCAGCACTCGCTCGCTCCCCCCGCCAGCGGAAGCGCCCGCGGAGCACAATGCAGCACTGAGCCGCGGTGGAGGCTGCAGCGCCACGGCTGCCGCAGCACCGGCTGGGGCTGGGAGGGGGTGGCCTCGGGGAGCCCGGGGGCGCGGAGCGAGGAGCCGGACTCGCCGGGCCCGGCATGAGGAGCTGAGCGTCTCGGGCGAGGCGGGCTGACAGCAGCACCATGCTGGCGGCTGCGGCTGCGTCCGTGCCCTTCTTGCTGCTCTGCGCCCTGGGGACCTGCCCCCCGGCGCGCTGCGGCCAAGCAGGTAAGTTAGCCGCCCTCTGTGCCTTCGTGCTATACCATTTCCCGGGAATCTTTGGAGCCCCTAGGCGTATTGAAAAGGGGGCATCCCCATTTCCAGAGTGCGCGGGGAGATTTTTTTTTTTTTTTTTTTTTTTAAATTAGGGAGGGTGGTGAGAAGTGGAGCAAAAATATGTATGTGGGGGCGCGCGGATGCACTAGAAGCCTTCGGTCAAAGCCTGTTTTTCTCCTTCTGAAGAGGAATGGGGAGAATGGGAAAGGGGTGCCCTTCTTCTGGGCCGCGCTCCTGGATGCTCTCGGATGAGCCGGTCCAAGGCTCTCCGGCTGGTGTCTCTGCAGCCTTCCCAGATGGGTTCCGAGAGGAAGGGGGCGGTGAGGATTGTCGTAGGGGAGACCTGGGACCGCAGGATGGAGGAGTGCGGGTCAGGGTCATTATTTTCGCCTTTTCTTTCCACTCCCTCCTTTCCCCCTTCCTGCCTGGAGGAGACCCCTCATTGACGGAGCTGGAGAAGAGGAAGGAAAACCGCTTCCTGGAGCGCCAGAGCGTCGTGCCGCTGCGCCTCATCTACCGCTCGGGCGGCGAAGACGAAACTCGCCACGACGCGCTCGACACGCTGGTGCGTGGCGACCCCGGCGGCCGCAAGGTGAGAGGCTGGGTCCGGGAGGGGGTCCTCTGTGCCGCCCGGCCCACCCGCGACCCCACCATTGCGCTCGGTTGCCCTGGAGACCCGATGTCTTCTGGGGTGAAAAGAGCTCAGTCCCGATACGAGTCATGCCTGGCGCTCCCTGTGCAAAAAAGAAGGGGAAAAGGGTACCGAAAAGAACCAAAAGAACCACAGGCCGAGGGCTTTTCCCGAGGGGAGTTTGTGTGGGGTGCTTTCAGCAGTGCGGTGACCTGAGAGAAGGCGGAGAGCCCTGTGACATCTGTCAAGCAAAAGTCAGGCATGCACAGGGAGAAGGGAGGTAGTATTTGGGCAGGGTTGGAATCATCATTGTTGTTTTACTCCTCAAAGAGACTTCATAAGTGATTTAACCCAAAATTGACACTGTAAAAAAAAAAATTGGAAAAAAAAATCAATGCTAGACGTTCTTAAGAAACCCAAACTGTAAAAACAGGATAAACTCTAAGGTTTTATTCACTCAGATTTGTGGACACCAGAGATGTGCCCATTCACCTCCACCTTTGGTTTAATTAGGGCTGTGCCGTTTGTTGAGCGTTTATAAATTATGCTTTAAAAAAAATCTATCTTTATTTAAATCAAGATACACTTCCACAGATATGCCTGAAAATTATTGTGAATTTATTGACAAATTTAAGTAAATACTTCTAGAGCTGTGTATTTTTTTATTTCTATATATCACCTGATCAGGCAGTTCACCCACCTGTAAGTACGTATTAAGATGGGACTCGTTCATGTACTTGAAAATTTTTGTAAACTTGACTGAAGCAAAGGCAAGCCAAACCTTTTCACATGTATAAATATATTCACAAATACTTTAAGATATGTCACAAATATGATGTGATAATTATACTAACATCTGTATACATGAAATATGTAAAAATAGAAAATATTATTTAAATTCATATTGGTAGCCAAATAGTTGGTACTGTTAAAATTTTGTTATTGAAGGTGGGAAATTAATTTAAAGGGCTACATAATATCCATCAAATATTATTTTAGTAGGAAATCCCAGTATGTTAAGCCTTTAGTTTTCTTTTATTTGAATTAATGTTTGATAAATACTTATTTTTCTTTTCCATTTTGACTCATTTCAGTGGTAAAACTGAAGAAGCAGGGAACATAGTTTCCCTATGTCATTGTGTTTTTCAATTAATTAAAATTAATTGAATTTAATTTTAATTCTGTGGAAGAATATTTTGACACCCATTTCCAACCTTTTATTGTAAAAAATTTTAAACACACAAAAAAGTAAGATAATTTAATGAACCCCTAGCTCCAACAATTAACAACTTGTGGCCAATCTTGTTTTGTCTATACCCTATTTCTTTTCTATTTTCTTTCCCTCCCTGTATAGTATTGAAACAAATCATTTCATTCATAAAAATTCTAGGAATATACCACTAAATGGTAAGGATTCTTTTAAAAATGCAACCATGTTATTATCTTTTCAAAAATTAAGAATAATTTCTTACTACTATCAAATATCCTGTTTTTCAAATTTCCAGTTCTGTGAATATCATAAATATCATAAATATCATATATGTATATATGTGTATGTGTGAATGTTTGTGTGTGTGTGTGTGTATATATATATATATATATATATAGAGAGAGAGAGAGAGAGAGAGAGTACATATTTAGAGGATATATTTAAGTTTGTTTGTCTGAACCAGGGCCCACATAATGTTTGTAGATTGCAATTCATTTATTTATTTAATTTTTGTAGCAGGGTCTTACTGTGTCACCCAGACAGGAGTGCAGTGGCACGATTATGGCTCACTGTAGTCTTGACCTCTTGGGCTCAAGTGATCCTCCCACCTCAGCTTCTTGAGTAGCTTGGATTACAGGCATGTACCATCTCATCTGGCTAATTAAATTATTTATTTATTTGTTTATTTTTTATAGAGATGGGATTTCATCATGTTGCTCAGGCTGACCTTGAACTCCTGGGCTCAACCCATCTGTTGGCTGGGGTCTCCCAAAGTGCTGGGATTACAGGTGTGAGCTATGGAGCCTTGCCTGTTTTTTTTTTTTTTTTTTCCTAAAAAGCCTTTTAATGTATGGCTCTTTCCCCTCAGTTTCTTTTTTTTCCCCTTGCAACTTTTTCAATGAAGACATGGAGTCCTTTCATTTTGTTGGGTTTCTCATTGAAGATTTTACTGTTGTAGCCAGTGCTTTAAAACATTTTACAAAGACTTTCTAGGAGAGGAAGAGAGACTGAAGGAAGTAGAGATACAGAAAAAGAAATCCACAGGATTGAACCTGGAGACGCACAGAATCTCCGACTCGTGCTGGAAATGTCTTCGGGTACCTTCTGCCTGCTCTGTGTTGGTGAAAGACCAACACTTTTCAGAACTGGAGGAGACTAGTCCTCCTTCTTTTCTTCCCATTTATGGAGGACCATTTGTGCAGTTTTTTGGTTCACAGGATTCCTGACTTGGGGTGGAAGCTATCTTGTGCTCATGGAGCTTCTACTTCCTATAGCAATAAACCTCACAGTAGAGAATAATGACTGATTTTTGGTGAAGTATGATTGAATTGGGAGGATTTAGGTTTAACAGTCTGAATAGATTATTAATTCAAGTCAGAAAGAAAACAATGATACCATCTTGTCCTACTAATTATTATGAAAATGTATCCCAGTGCCTGGCACTTAGTAAGGTACATGTAGTACACGTCGATGTCTGTATCACCTGGGAGCCACTGTGGTTTACCGTGCTGCTTAGACCACAGGTGGAAATCATTGACAACTAGGACCAGATCTGACAGAATTGTAAAGACCTAGTTACTTTAGGCCAGCTTTTCCTACAGTTAAGAAACAGGAGTTTTCTTGCACTATTGGCATTTTTCGTTTTTCTAAGAGCTATCATTGGACTGAAAAACATAAGTTGATTTTTTTATGGCCCTTGTTATTTCCCTAATGATTAAATAAATGTAACTTATGGCATTTTAATTTTAGATACTCATAGATTTTTTTTTGTTTTGTTTTTGAGATGGAGTTTTGCACCGTCGCCTAGGCTGGAGTGTAATGGCATGATCTCAGCTCACTGCAACCTCCATTTCCTGGGTTCAAGTGATACTCCTGTCTCAGCCTCCTGAATAGCTGGGATTATAGGTGCACACCACCACACCTGGCTAATTTTTGTATTTTTATTAGAGATGAGATGTCACCATTTTGGCTAGGCTGGTCTAGAACTCCTGACCTTAGGTGATCCTCCTGCTTTGGCCTCCCAAAGTACTGAGATTACAGGCATGAGCCACTGTGTCTGGCCACCTATAGATATTTTTATCAACTTCCTTTCTGCTTCATAAATAAAATCAGGGCGATTTTCTGTGAACTCACAAAGCTTATATACATTTGTTGATTTGTTTCTTTCTAAATAAAAAAAGGCATTTATTTATTTATGTATTTACTAATTTTGAGATGGAGTCTCGCTCTGTCACCCGGGCTGGAGTGCAGTGGCACGATCTCGGCTCACTGCAACCTCTGCCTCCTGGTTCAAGTGATTCTTGTGCCTCAGCCTCCCAAGTAACTGGGACTACAGGTGTGTGCCACCACATATGGCTAATTTTTTGTATTTTTAGTAGAGACAGAGTTTCACCGTGTTAGCCAGGATGGTCTCAATCTCCTGACGTTGTGATCTGCCTGCCTCGGCCTCCCAAGTTATTGAGATTACAGGCGTGAGCCCTTGTGCCTGGCCTAAAAGGCATTTCTTTTTTCTTTTTTCTTTCTTTCTTTTCTTTTTTTTTTTAAAGCCATTTCTTTACTTGTGTTCCTACTCTTTATTAATTTTTATGCAAGACCCTGGGCATTTAGAGATAAAAGACACGATTTGCCTTTAAGGAATTCTTAAAGAAGTGGAAGATGAATGGGTGAATAAGCAATTATATTTTGCCCTGTGATTTTCTGGAGGTGAACACAGAGGCCGGTGAAGGCAGAGAAGGCTAGTACTTAACCCAAGTGAGCAGTTAGGCTGAGCTCTCTGGGGAAGCTGTGTTTTGAGGGTAAGTTAGGAATTACTACATTAAAGGGAAGAGTGATTATATCCAACCAAAGAGGCGGTAAGTACATAGGTGCATGGGAATCAGGATATGTTTTTGTTAATTGCAAGTAGTAAAGCTTTCAGGGACAGATAAGATAAAACAGGAAAGCAGGGAGTAGATGCTGTGGCACTTTCATGACTTGCTGAGGAATTTGGAATTTGTCCTGAAGGCAGTCAAAGGATTTCAATTAGGAGAGTTAACTGACCAGATTTGTGTCATTGTCATATAATCCTAATTGTTAGAGTGAATACATTTTTTTTGTCCTCATTATCATCCATTTATCAGAATGAATGATTTTAATTTCAAAGAGCATGTGACTGTAGCGCTGTACTTTAGTTCACTGTTAAATGTTCACATAATCTTTAAGTTTCATTAGAACTTAGTAAATATACTGAAAATACTGAATAAATGAGTTAATATTTACAATGCACTTAGAACAATGCTGGGCATAGAGTAAGTACTATATGAGTCTTTGTTAAATAACGTTAGCTCCCTCAGGCTGCTGAAGTACTATTTAGATATTTTATGACATCACTTGAGTGAAAAATGGTACCTTAATTATCTGAGTTTAACATAGTTCCAGAAGTATGTTACAAATTACTTAAATTTATATTTAACTAGGTGGAATCAAATAGTCCTAGAGATATAAGAGACCTAATGGGTTATCTAACCTAATTCAGGAATTACTTTTCACTTGTTAAGAGCAAGCCATTGGATGGGCACAGTGGCTCACGCCTATAATCCCAACACTTTGGTAGGCTGAGGTGGGTGGATATTTGGCATTAGGAGTTCTAGACCAGCCTGGCCAATATGGTGAAACCCCATCTCTACTAAGGGTAAAAAATTAGCTGGGTGTGGTGGTGGGCACCTTTAGTCCCAGCTACTTGGGAAGCTGAGGCACAGGAATTGCTTGAACC